ATGTCCTCATAGGTTGGGCTTTGGGTGGTGATTGGACATGGGGACTGATACTCATATCAGATTAGTCCACTGGTGACTTCAGAGTTAAATGTCAGTCTGAGAGGTGAAGCCCGGTGTGAGGAAGTGGGTCTCTGGGCTGTGGCCTGGAAGGGTCTCTGGAAGGGTGTGCCCCCTCCTCTTAGCTTGATCTCTCTGTCTGCTTCCGGCCATGCCATGTTACTCCTCTGCCATGCTGCCCTGCCTTGGAGCTGGCTGACTATAGACTGGAATCTCCACAAACAGAGCCAAAATAAACCTTTCCTCCTTTAATTTGTGGGTGTTGGATATTGTCTCCCAGCAATGAAAAAAGTAATTATTAAGACAGCTGACATGTATGAGACCCAAGTCCCAAATGTAAAGATAGAGGACTTCTCTTTCCCTTAGTAATGCAGAAATACCAGTCATTTCCCTGGGCCTTAAACCAACCATGCCTTACCCCACCATCACCACTTGTAGGGTCTTTGACTCATAGTGAGATCCACTTAGAGCTTGCACAATACATCGTGATTCAAAGAGCTGCTTCTGAGTGTCTTCAGTATCCTCCATTACATAGTGTTCGCAGACCACATGCAGGACCACAGCCCATTCAATAACTCTCGCATGAACCACCACCCTTCATTGTGGAAGACCTAGGGGTGGGGAGCCCACTAGCTAGCAGTGGATAGGGGGTAGGAATCTCATTCCCCTGCTTGCTGGGGTTGGAGAAACCTCCGCCAGGGGATGAAAGGTAGGGCCCCAGGGCACCCTTGTCAGGGCAATGAGTGGAGTGAGGCGTAGACAGAGCCTGGCTCCATCCTGTAGATCAACTGTTCTCCAGAATATTTGTGGTGCATACAGTTCCTGGCCCAGGGAGAGCCAAGGGATTTCAAATAAAGGGGAAGTCATGGCTGAGGAGCAAACCGTCTGTCCTGCTTCACCTAACGAGGAGCAGCCGGTACCTGAAGACCAGCCCCAGCCTCTTGGCTTTCACTGGGAAAAGGAAAGGTTTCACAACCTCATTAAAGGCTCACATCCTTGAAACATGGGCTTTGTGCTCCACAAGGTAGAAAGCAGAACAGAATGAGATAGCACTGGCAAGTTAGAACAGAGCCAAATGGCAATACTTAGTGGCATTACCAGCTCTCCACCTTCAGCTAAAAATAATAAATAAAGGGAGAGCATAATGCAGAGGAAAGAAAAATCTGGTTTCCCCCTGTGCTTAAAATAAACACAGCAAAGCCAAGTTTCCACCCTCCCTCTCCACTCACACCCATGGTAGAAGAAGGGGCTTGTGAAATTCTAGCAGCGTCCTCCCCAGCAAAGGCTCAGGAAGGGAAGATGCCTTTGGTTGTTCCAGACATGGGTGCAGGTCCACCTTTCCAGTGCCATTCGAGTTTGAGCAGAGAGACTCAGCTAAAGCTTGGTGCTGTAGAGCGGTTAGCTGGAATGAGCTGATGAACTCAGTTCTTGTTTTGTTAAGGAAAACACAGATAAAGACTACAAGAGCACACTGGTATCTTTGGGAGGACAAAGCAAATAAAGAGATGAGTTTGACCGTAGAGAGTGGACCTCGGGGAAGAAACAGCGATGGGCCTTGTCTCAAGTCTATTGTGGCCCATTTGGCACTGGTCTATTTTCCTGGTGAATTAATGTGCAGTCACAGAGAACCCCATGATAAACACAGTGGGGCTAAGGAGGTGCTGCTGAGCAAGCTGTGACTGCTGGAGGACTTGGACAGTGCTCAGGGTGCCTGCAGCACAGAAACGAGGTAGTCCCCTGGTTTGTTACTGGCAGCCCCTGCAGGAGCAGGCACGCACTGGGTTGTATAGAAGCCCCATCCCTCATCACTCCCAACACGAGGAAGTTGCTCTAGTGACTCTCAAAGCCACTGGGCTAGCACTTGCCCAGCAGTGAGCAGGAGAGTCAGAGGAGGTCCAACCTGATTCAGAGAGACCCACGGCAGTCTTCCTGCTGGTGCACAGAGGCCAGTGCTGTCCTATTCATATCCTGGTCTGCCATGTCCCCGTGCTCGGGAAGGTGCAGAAACGACCTCCTGGGATTTCTAGAAGGCCAGTGTTTTTCGGATATGGACAGTGGCTGTTCATAGTGAACACACACAGTGTGCTAAAGTTGTCACTGTAGAGAATCTCATTTTCAAAATCATGGAAGAGGAGAATAAGACACAATTATCAATATGTATGGAGGTAGAGAAACTGCTTCCAGAGTAGTGAGAGAGGGAAAGAGAGAGGGAGGAATGGGGGGAGAGAAGCGAAAAGATGTACCCTTCCAGACCATGCCCTCAGTGACCCACCTCTCAGGACCAGACCCTACTCTTAACAGCAAGTCAGCTAGAAGCTCCCATAACCCAATCACCTTCCCAAAGGCCCACCCATAAGTGCATGAGACCCTGGGGACATTTCAAACCTAAACCATATCGATGTCTAAAGGGAACTTTAAAATAATGGGACAAATCCGCACATGGATTGTGTAGTGATAATAAAGGGTCTGATCTGGACAGTGCCAGGGAGTTCTTCCCCACCAGTGGCATCTATGCCCAGGGCTCAGACTGCATAGACGCTGGGATCCATGGCCAGGGCAGCTCTGGGTAGCAAAGACTACACAAGAAGCAGGGACCTTCCATGCAGTTTCCTGTAGGCGGCTGGACCAAAATTTTCATACATATAGCTATATAAAATTCTGCAGCGGAGACAAAAAGGAATCACCAGTACCACTAAAGTTGGTACCAATAAGGTTGACTTAGTACCAATAAGTACCAGTACCACCATTACCAATAAGGTTGAATCACTTAGTTACACTGTTTAAAACAAAACAGTACAATCATAGGGAGAGCACCCTGGAGCATGTCTGTGATCCTGGATGCTCAGGTGGCTGAGCCAGGAGGGTCTCAAGGAAAAGATAAAAAGGACTGGAGATGTAGCACAGTAGCAAAGAATCCCTAGGTTTGAGCCCCAGCACCAAAAATAAGCAACAAAAAAAGAATAATCATCAGCAAGGAACTTGTAGTCAAGTGGGAAATACACAGCACCAAAGCAGAACTCATATGACACCCTGCTGTCCCATGCCCTGGCCTGACCTGCAGGCCAGACACTCACAGTTGCTCCAGGGATTCCCCAGCTTGTCTCCAGGGCCCAGTCTGGAGCTGGATTTAAGAACTGCCTCTCCCCAGCCCCACTCCAGGTAGCCTAAGACATACTGATGCTGTCTTTCTTCCTTCTTCTGTTCTCCAGAAGTGGGTCTGCTCTGGAGGTAGCAGTAATGCAGTGTCCTGCATGGTGCTGTAGCCTGTGATCCTGGCACTTGAGAGACTGAGGCAAGAAAATAGATTGTGTCTAAGAGTTCAAAACGCTGTTTTAAAAAAAATACAGAACATAAACCCTATGGTCAGGACAAATCTAGACCTCTGGGCAGGCAGGAGTGAATGAGGACATTTCTGAGACATATTATATTTAAATCTATGACACTGCAGGGAAAACAAATTGGCAAAACAAATTTCAAAGCACTGACATCATTCTGAATATGTTTATTCTACACCAGTAAAGCCAGTTGGAAAAAACAGCAATGAAATGCCTATGGAGAGGATCCCAAATCACAATTGGCCCCTAGGCTCTATTCTTTTGCATTTCAATAACAAAATCAACTAACGACTGAAGTAAAGGTATCACCTCATCATCCTGCTAATGAGTAATGAACACCTCAGTTTCTATCAACAGATCCTCGGCTTGTTTGCCTATTTCAGTCCTTTCTGACAGACTCCTGGAGGTCAGACAGGCTCAGAAATGGTGGGGGGTACCTGGTATGTGCTCAGGAGTGAGACCACTATGCAAGCAGCCACGGGTACTGTCAACATCATTTCCAGTCCCACATCTGCTAAGCCATGAAATGCTGATTCAGAACAAAGCCCGACATCAGGAAGCAGTCAAGTCCAAGTCACAGTCCCTTTCCCAAGCTGGCCACTGGGGTGAGCAGTGATGAGAGACAAAGCTGGGCTCAGAAAGATGGTGCTGAGCAAGACCAACACTCAAACACAGGCGCCATTTCCCATTTTCTTCCGGCTGGACCCAGGTAGCGAGGCTTCGTACAAAGGGCACTGGCTTCGTCCCACCAAGATGCTCTTGGGGAAGACAAAATCAGAGAAGTCAGAAGTGTCAAGCATACTGTGTCACTTTGCTATTAGAAAGGTGCTAAGATCCGACTAGTTTTCCAAATCTGAGGGGTCAAATTATTGTGTTGTTCAAAGGTGTGGGAAGTCCCCCTGGGAACCAGGCACATAATTGAAGTGTTTTATTTAGGAAAAACACTATCAGAACAAGTTAAGAAATGCTGTCTCCACTCCATGACTCCTGTGCCTGTTCGTACCCCAGTGGGAGGAGGAGGAGGTGGCAGAGGGAGGGTAGCTGGGGCTCCAGTGGACCTCTGCTCCAGAAGTCCAGAAGTTGGTGGCCCAGTTGTGTGGGAAAGGGAGCTGGGGAACGAGAGCCCGGCAATCCAGGAGGGAGGGCTGTACCTGCCCTGGGTTCTAAGAGGCCAGCTGGCCTCCGCCCCCCCCCCCCCCCCCCCCCCCCCGCTTCTATCTGGAGGTAGCTCTCAAGGTGCGCAGGGCCCTGGAAGGCTAGTAGTCACCGAGCTGCTGGATGGTTTGGGGGGGGGGTGAAGGGCACACTGTCCTTCCTGCTGGAGGGGCACCAAGCAAAGGCCTCAGCTAGAGAGGGGAAGGAAGTGTATCCCCTGGGAGAGGGCCCTGGGAGCGGGAGAGGAGGGCTCTGAGAGCAGTGTGGGAGGGGGGAGAGGAAGGAACAGGGAGGAGAGCAGAAGAGAGGAGGGAAGAAAAAGAAAACCGAGGAGGGAGCAGAGAGGGGTAAGTCTTCAGGAGCGGGGGGCGTGGCCAGACGACTTTCCAGCCCAGCGCTCTGGGGGCGGAGCCTCATATCTCCCCGCCCATTCCCCCGCCTCCTTCCCAGGCCCCGCCCCCGGCCCGGGAAGGATGCGGAGGCCGCGCGGCGGCGACTCACACTGCAGCCCCGGGCGGCGCGCGCGGCTGGCTCGCATCGGGGCCGGGGCGGGGACCGGGGCCCGAGGCCGCCGAGGGGGCGCGCGCCCCACAGTCCTGCGCCGGGCATGGGGCGCCAGGCGACTGCCTGAGGCCGCGGAGCAGCGGGCGGCCGGGCAGGCGGCCGCGGCTGCGGCCGGCGGAGATGCGCGGGGTGCTACTGCGGAGCGTGCTCGCGGCCCTGTTGCTGCGCGGTGAGTACCAACCGGGCTGGGCGGGATCGTGGGGCCCGGCGCCGAGTTCCGTCCTGCGAAGCGCACGGGGCTAACGAGGCGCCGTACGGGACTTTGGCAGGCTTTGTGCGGAGCTGACCAGCGCCGGGGCCGGGGCAGAGCTGAGCTGTCCGGAGCGCTGTCCTGGGGCGGGCGCCGACGCCCTGCGGGGTCACCTCACAGCGCTCCTCGGTCGGCGCCCCTTGCCGCAGACTTTCAGCTGGAGCCAGGAATGGGGATCAGGTCTGGGACCCCAGCCCTGGGCAAGGCCAAAAAGGCTTTCTTTGTAGCCCTGCTGGGGTGGGTGGCTGACAGTCCCCGGGCGCTGTTACTGGCTGGTTGCGCCAAACCTGCCTGCACGCTGAGGTGTGCCGAGCCCCGAGGTCGCATCGTAAAGTCAGGATTGCAGTTCAGGGCAGAGAGAAGGTATAATTATAGGGTTGGACTCCTGGGCCCATCTGCTTAGAATTACAGAGCAGTTTTAATCTTTGGCTGAAACATGAAACAAATCAGAGCCAATGAGAAGATCAAGCAGCAGCTGCCACACACACAGGAAAAAAGAGAGGGCGCGGGAGATGAAGCGGGGAGTTTGTCTCTCTTAAAAAGTAGTAATCTTCTCTGGAGGAGGATCAGGTGCCTTTCAGATTTAAAAACTGACTTGAAAATTTGGCATCTGTAGGATTTTTAGCATAAAATCCAAGTGTGCTGAGCTGCAGGAGGAGCGTTCCCTTTCTCTAAAGAGTTAAGGTTGTAATCAGAGATGCTAACAGCCAGCAGGTATGGAAATCCCGAGCACATCCAAATGTGTCCTTCACTCTGGTGTGGCTGAAGCTCCCCTGGACTGCAGTCACTGGTCCACGGTTGCTGCATGGGATGGGGGAAGTTGACCTTGGAGAGTTGGGTGGGGGTCCATGGGCCAGGAGTAACTGAGGAGGCCACTGAACCCTGTGCGAGGCGCAGCCTGGAGCTGGGGCAGCGTGTAGCTAGGCCATGTATGGAGGGAGCCTAAGATGCAAAGGGAGGTCTGCATTGTGGTTGGAGGACCAGAATAAACTACACAAAGAGATGCAACTTCAGTTTAGCCCTAGCTAAACTGTTGGAACAAAAGTTGCCTTAAGATCTACGGAGATCCAGCAGGGAGTTTTGCAGTTGCTGAGTGCAGGAAATAAATAAAGGGTTATAAATGCCCAGGCAAGATCTAAGCACGTTTTGTCCTAATTAGCTAGGATCATGTAAAGCAACAGAAACAAACTCTAGATCCCCCCACCCTGCTTTTTACCAGATTGAAGTAGTTTTGACAGAAAACACATTAATCAGCCTAGCTGAAGAGAATGGTCTGGTGAGTGCCTTACTTTACACTAGGATTCTGTGGGCCTTCCTAAGTTCTGCAGTAGCAGAGGGAGCTTGACCACTTACTTCAATAAAAGTTTTACTTTGGAAGGAGTTGTCTGAAATCTTAGAAAGGTGAGTGAGGTAAGTGGGCATTTGCATTTGCATTCTCTAGCCAGATTCCAGCTGCCTGGTGGTAGCACCCTCGGGGCAGCAGTGAGGGACTGTACCCAGGTTAGACTTTGATGAATTTAGTTTCCAACATCAGTTACAGAGTCTTTGCTGCACGGAGTCAGGATAATAAGTTTTAAAAGTGTACGGGGCCCTCAGAAGGAGCCCCAGTGACACCCAGGCTTGGTTAGGCTTTTTGGCCACTTCTGTTTGAATTGTTGCAAGCCAGAACTCACCCCCTAAGTCCTATTGGTATGTACGCTAGGCTCTGGCAAGACCTGAGCCTTGTTGTTTATTTTGCTCTTTTTAAAAACGGTAAATGTAGTGCGAGACCGAAGTTCAACATGTGATGATACTGAACTATACATGTCATTTTGTTTTCCTCTGCTCCGGATTCTGAAAGCAATTGTATTTCTTAATCCAAATAAAACCTATTGAATGTCATGAAGGTATGCAGCTGGAAGATATCCATTATCACTGTTTTCTTTGCTCGGATCAAAAGCCAGGGACACTCAGAAGCCAGATTCTAAGACTCACTCAGCTGCAGGACACAGCTTAGCAGGAGGTACTGGGAACCTGAGCAAGGTAGCCTCTCTCTGCTGGGGAAGCACCTGACTTAGAGTGTGGAGCTGACACCCGAGAGCTGTCTTCTCTCCAGCACTGTTTACTTTTTGGAATTTTACTCATTGACTTTTCTGAGAGGTGGAGGTTTTTTCAGCACTTCCCTTTCCTTCAAGCTTATTCTGTCAAAGCTTTCCAAAGTAAAACTTTTATTGAAGTAAGTGGTCAAAGCTTTTAAAAACTTTTAATGCTTAATTTAAGCAACAAAATGCAAGAAAACATTCTAGTAGAGCAAAACAGAAGTTTTTTGAGATATCCCTTTATCAGAGACAGCGTTTTTTAACCAAGAAAACATTGTCTTTCTTGCATCCTCCTCGTCATAAAAAGAAAATGAAATTTTGAAAAGGAACATGACTCATTTGTGCACAGTAGGGGGCAAGGCCTGAAGCAGATGTTTGTATTCTCAGCTTAACTCCCTGGGCTGCTTCAGAAATGGGCTTCTTTGAGGGCCTGTGCATTCTTCTCCCCCTTGATGAGAAAAGAACTAAATATAGGTGGGTCAGGGACCCAACAATGACGACTTGATACAATCAATCAGAGTGAAGCCTACAACATTTCAGAGTGGAAATAGGAAGTGAGGCAATAGTTCAGTGGGCAGGAGGTGGAGGGGCTGGGGACCGGGCCTCACACAACAGATGAGGGTGCAGTGCTTGCAGGCAGGCCCCAGTGCAGCTTCCTGCTGTGTAAGGGTCAGCTAGGAGTGCGTCCCTGCTTAAAGCTCTCTGACTTGGGGTGGATTATTCTGAAATGTGAAGGGACAGGAATAAAGGTTAGATAAAGGGTATAGTGTCGCCCTAAAATAATTGGGGCATTCCATTCTGGGAGAGTATTCCGGTTGCATTCATTCAGCCTGCTGTCCACTCAGTGGCTCCTGGGTGAAGCCTGCCACCTGCCAGGGTTCTCTGTCTGCCAAGGATAGGCAGGGAGGGGAGGGGCTGGGTCCTGAGAATTCCTGAAGAATATGCAGGGTGGGAGGAAAATTTGGGGGTGGCACGTTGGAACTAGGAGGGTGAGGCAGTGTCCTGCATCCACACTGCACACAAGCCTGCACACACATATCGTACACATATAGACACACTATACAAATCCACATACATATGCACACACTTATACATACACCACACACAAGTACACACACACATGTCCTACACATTGTACACATATCATATACCGCACATCCCCCACACTTGCAGATATATCCATATACCACACACATGCATGCACACACATATCATATACACAGCACACGCACATGTATGCACACAAGTTAGCACATACATGCACGTGCATGTCATATACACTACATACATGCACACACTTACATACCACACACTTGCATGTACACATTTATATACATATCCTGCATGCATGCATGCAATGTACACATATGTCACACACATGCACATGCATCACATACTTTATACGCATGCATGCACATGTATATGCGCAATACCCATGTGTGCACACATCATGTATGTTACACACATATGCATGCATGCTCTTATCACATGCCACCCACATTCATGTACACATATACACACACCACACACATGCACATGTATCATACACACAGCACACACCTCACACACTTGCACACACATCACACAATGCTTGTATACACATATACACACACCCCACAGGCATGCATGCATACCCATATACATACGTGCCATGTTTGCACATATGCACACTACATGCACACATATACACACTGCACACGCATACATGCATTATATATATGTATGCACACATGTCATACACATGCACAAATACAACACACATGCAAACACACACTCTGGACCCATCTGAACATACACAACACACTTACACAGACATGCTATAAGCCACACACATCACACACACACACACACACCACAAGCATACTTCATATACTACATACACCACACATGCCAAACTATATACTACACACATAAATATCACACACATGCCATATATATACCACATGTACCACACACGTTTCCAAACCACACATATACACATATGCCACACACTCACATGCACTCATGACAGTGCAGACTTGACCTGCAAACTCTGCAGCCTCAACTTTACCCTGTGTCTAGCCTGGGGATCTTGGCATTAGAAGATGGCACAGAAAAAGAACTCGTCCACTAAAGTTAAATAAAGTTAGGAATTTGAAATGTTGACTTTATTATTTCTCCTAAAGGAAAAATACTTCTAGTGTGAAAATGTACAGACTGGTAAGAGCAGCTCTGTGAAGGTTTTGTTTATTGCAGAAAAAGAGACTGGAAAATAACCTGGAACACAAGGACCCCAGTGGCAGTGGAGTCCCACCCTCTGCATTATGTGTGAGCCTTTACCCCCAAAGTGGAGCACTGTGCCAACAGTTTATCTCCCAGGGACCGCTTCAAAGCACCTGGTCATGGCAGTGCCTTCTTATTTAATTGCACAGGATGGTTTCATGGCTAAGTAATTATCTGCATTTAATCTCGTCAGCATTTTATAGATCACACTAGTGGTAATTTGAGACAGCATCTCTCACTCCACTGTCAAGATGTGCAGCAGATTATATAAAGTACCCGCCGACCCTCCAAATTCTCTATTCAACACAGCCAGCATGTGCGCTCTGACGTTATACTTAATCTTTTTTTTTTTTTTTTTTTAGTGTTGGAGATTGAACTCACAACCTTGCGCTTGCCAGGCAGGTGCTTACGCTACTGAGCTAAATCCTTGACTCTGCCTAATCTTTCTTTAAAGTAGGTGGATTTTTTTGTTTTTTAAGTATTAGAGCACAGCTATTGAAACTGTTCTTTGACATCGTATCATGTGTAAAGCAGATTGAATTTTTGACTTCCCAGTCTGGAAAGGCAGGTGAAGAACGT